ATATGATATTCAAATTATATCAAGCAAAACAGAATATGATCCTATGAAAAATGTTATTCATATTGATAATGAAATCGTGTTTTGAATCATAAATCATCCCCAAAACGGTAAAATTCTTATAGTCACAAAATCAAACGAAAACATAATAAAAATAGAGAAATTAAACTTTGTTTTCATTTTAAGACAGGTTGTTGTCTGAAAGTGTAAATAAATAACTCATTAATTGTTATTTAATATATAAATATTAATATTCAAATCTGTTTCATAAAAATGTTTTTTGACTCCGTGATTATGTTCGATCAAACACTAGTACCGAACAAAACATAATGAACAAATGGAAATGATAAATTAATGTTATATATACATGTAAATGGACACTGCTTAAATTATTTCCAGTGTATATGTACAAGCATTTAAGAGTTAAAGAATATCTAAAAACAACCGTAATTGTCTTGGTGGTAAGATCATGTTATGGTGAATAATATACAGTTTAAGAAACATAATTTGCATGAGCTTTGTAATGATATGTTTATTGTTTTACTTTTAATGATCACGTGATGTGATTTGAATACTATACAACTTTCACAGTATTACAACTTCAATTGGTTCACTGCTTTGAAATGGTCAATGTTATAACACGCTGGTTCATACACATTCTAATATTCGTTATTTAGATGAGCTTAAAGCACCCGCTTACTGATTTAAAACATGAAGTTAAACATACACAAATGAGTAAAAACATGAAGTTAAACATACAAAAATGAGAAATTTGGACACGTATATGACTTCTGTTGGATCTAGCTTACGTCATCTCACTAATCTATCCATATTAGTTAAGGCGTTCTTATCACATGTAGCTGGAGTCTGCTGCCAAGTGACCTTGACTGTCAGAAATGACTAATCAATCTTTTTTCTAAGCCTTGACATTTTCACTTCTTAAGTAGTTTCTAGAGGTATTTGTTGTGTAACATTTAACCTCTGAAACATATACTGTGAATTTACTTTAATTCGTCGGCATGAAAGTTCGTGGTTTTATGAAAGAAGATTTTTTTGTGCATTCTTACATTTCTGGATTGTCTGTTTGTGCAAGTGGGAAAAATGCAAATTACATAATAACAATATTTGCACAGCAAACGGATTTTGTTTTATCTTAAATCCGTGTATTGACCTACTCATAAAAACCACGATAATTAGTGCATCACAAATGATAATGATTTTGCAGTAGATTGGGACAATTCACTTCCGATATTTCACATGATAATTTATTAGATCTATGATAGCTTTACATGATTCGTTTTACTTTTATATTTTAACTGCTCACTCACGTATCAAATTTAGTTGACCATATCTGACAGTCAGGCTTACAAACCGCCCGCTCAGCTGCGAACAGGTGGTTTATTCATTGGCATAATCACCAAAATAATCACCGAAGACATGACAGCAGCTAAAAGAAAGAGCCAAAATAGAAATCGGTCCATGATCAACGCAACAAATCTCCATTCGTTAACAATATCCTGATGTCGTTCTTCTAAGTCTTGTTTCTCTACTAGCAACTTTAGAGAAGATGTTATTTTGTCTTGCGTGTCATCCATATCGGCATCTGTTAGACGACTATTGTACGAATTGTCAAATTGATAATGTACTTGCTGCGTTGGTGTAGTTGACGTCATTTGTGACGTATTATTCACGTGGTTCTGTTTGTTAATGACCATGCCATTGCAAGTTGAAGAATCCATTGAATCGATGTACGAGCTAAGACACGTATCTGCTTTTCTTGCAGAATGATACACAAAGGGGTTCACTCTTGGTCTAAGACAAAGAATGCTTGCAAGAATATCATGTGAGAGAATTTGAAGCCATCTTGGAACCCCGCGCTGATGTGGTCCAACATGGTGTAACTGTAGCACAAAAACTGTCAACACTATTGATAATGAAGTCATTCCCATTGTGACAGTCAAATATATACCTAGATATGATAAAATATGTAATTATTAAAAATCATCATTTTAAAATAAAAACCTACTCGGTACATCTTTCAATATATTGCCAAGTGAAAATAATGATAACATGTGTCATGTAACCAACTTAAAATATGAAATTGCGGTTTAGGAGCCCGTGCTAGGGGGCGTGAGCGATGTCGCAATTTTTCACTATCCCTCATTTACAGACTCAATTAAACCGAGTCTGGAATTATCATGTAATTTTGTTGAGGTTAATGCTTCCAAGGGATCACCATTTCTCCAGATTTTGATAATTTTATACAGGCACATAATAAATGTAAAGAATGATGTAAAGTGAGGAACATTCACATTTGGAGAGCATTCGTATTTATCAAATTAAAGTACACTAAAATGATCACATATGTAGGTGACTTAGTTAACAGTACGGATGCAATCTATTGGCCGCCGCACTGCTAATTAAACCGACTGTTTAACAGCGTTTTCCGGATGTTTTGCAATATTTTAAAATGTTACAAGATAAAACAATTAGAAATAAAACATAGAACATGTTGCTTAGCGAGTAATTACATTCATATTTCCTTCTAGTGCGAATAGCATGTCAATGGGTTATTTTAATTATTCAATTACAGCATAGAGTTATAATTTTCGAGTATGGTAAAACGCACTTTTTGTACTAATATCAAAATTTAATTTCATATTGTCGCTTTTTATTTCGTTTTATAGAATAAAACTCTTGTCTTGAAATTTTGCTAATTTAACGGAAATATTTTGTTTTATTTCTGCAAAACAGACTGAATATAAATAACAATTTTAGTATAAGGAACATATACTGGAAGGTATATACATTTACATGAAGGAAATTACATGAAGATGTGGATAGGCATTTTATTTTTTAAGAGTCCACCAAGAGTTTTAACAAATCTTAATTTCTGGTTATTTATTTCAGTTTTATTCTAACCTATTTTCTGATAAGATTGTTTCATCTTTTACATTCCAAAATATTACCAATTATTACCACAGGAATTATATTTGAAAGAACATGTTTATAGATCAAACTGATATGACAAAAATCTGGAAATTGAGAGATCCCTCAGAAGCAAAGAAAAAAAGAAAATTATATGAAAATTGCAGACAAAACATGGTTGATCTCGTCTGCCTATGAGATATACTATAAACTCGCAACACATTTTACGCCCCTCTAGCACCGCCTTAAACGGTATTTAATCCTCAATACAATCAATATTCAGTATTCAACACTAAATGTGCTGGAACCGATGATCGCAAAAGTCCCAGAAAAATTCATGTATATCAACGCGAAATAATTTTGTATAAAAGTTGATTGATTTGTAACGGCATTAACTCACTTAAGTAGCATTTATTTTATAATATTTAACGATTAACACATATGATAAAAATTCATTCATACTATATCTATAAAATTGTCATGCATTTAAAATTTCAAATATATTTATATTACCTATAAGCGGGACAAACTCTGAGGTTGCAGGCATATTTTCCGCTATGAGAAGCATGAACACGGAGAATGCGAGGAGCACGGTTATCCCTAACGTAATCTTTTCCCCACTATCTGGTGGCAACCAGAAACCGAGTAAACTTAATACTGTCAACCATAAACAAGGGAAGATAATATTGAATAGATAATACAGCGTCCGTCGTCTCATGATGATAGTAAACGTCACATCCGGGAAGAATTCTATACAACAAGCATATGTTACTTTATTGCGGACAACAATGATATCAATCAGCTCCCATTCACCGCTGTAAACGTAGTTTGACAAATCTACATTTGCTGACCGATTTGTTACATCAACCTTCAATGCAGAAGCAAAGAAAAAGTTGTCAAAATAATATCTGAACAGTTACAAAATCTATCTAATCTGCATATTACACATCAAAAACAAAAACATTCAACTTTTTCAAGTGAAATATAAATTCGATGTAGAATTTTTTTAGTGTTCTAAGTAAAGCAACAAAGTATTTTTTTTCGAAAATAAGACTTCACAATGAAAATTATCTTTGCAGAGCAACACCTATTAGCATTCGGTTATCAAATCATCAAATTACCATCCTGCACGACTGATTTACATATAAAATGTCATGAAATTGCGGTTTAGAAAAACTATCAAATTAGTTAAACATGTTTTATCCCAGAACATACACAATGCATGATATACAAATTCAGCTATATATATGGGAAAATGGATTAATATTATATCGAAAAACACCGAATTAAATACAAACGACTAAAAATAATCGGACTTTATGGCATGCATTTTATTTTTTCAAATATTTATCTTAATGAAAAATGGCGATTTTATTATCCTTGGATGTTGGTACTACCTGAAATCCGTCATATGTCCATGATCCAAATTTCATTTTGCATAATTGATCATCAAAAGGAAAGAAAGTGATGTCTATTTTGCATGAGCTTCTAAATTTCGCAGGTGGCGGCCAGAAAACAACGCCCTCATGGCTGACCATAGCTTTGCTCTGCATGTAGCCGGTAGTAAAATCGTCGGCACTTAAATTAAAAAAAATAGATAAGTTTACATGAGACACTACCATTAGTGTTTACATGTACATAATATTTAGAATTTACATAAGTATGGTGATAAAATGAAAAGCATATAGACGTGTGACTTGACTTTTCATTGTTACATGTACTTAGACTGATAGCAATGGGACTCTAACATTTCAAAAATGTTTCTTGTAACTTTGCATTAGTCTGAATGTTGTTATCTTATATTTAGAACCAGTATAAAAAAAAGTATTTACTGGAAATCATTTCAATACAGAAGTAATCCGATTAAAATGGATTTCTACTGCAGTATCACTAACTTCATTGCTCGTTAAATGTAACGAATTTGTTCGGAAATGTTGTAAAAGGCGTATGATACTTTTTGGCCTATTGTTGCATTATCCGAATATACAAGTTGTTTTGATATTATAAAGAATAAAAATCAATAGTTACTTAAATATTTTTCATCGAAATATTTATTTCATGGTCTATTAATGTAACTAAACATCCGACTGGAACAGATAATATCTTTTGGTTAACCGAGATACATTATATTTGCCCTGTAAAATTGTATGAGCTTAATTAATTTGTTTGTTTTATGGTGGTTACACAAAACAAAGTTAAATCGTAGCCGGAAGAACGTCTGCCAGTATATTATTTATAAATGGATTTAGTTCCAGACAATCCATTTAATTTCGCCATATTATTTCTGATCGATTGCCTTTATTTATGATATGGAATAAGCAAACTGTATTTTATTACATAAATCATACCTAAAGTCTATATCCGTAAGACAGAAGAATTCCTTCAAAATGATCTCTTTTTGCATGTTTATTATTCAATTCAATGGCTAAAAATGCTAAATATTTCCGACTCATAAAGGCATATTATGGTCCAAAATTTTATGATTTTCATTTCTTAAAACACATTTAAAGATGTTTGATGTCTATTGCCAAATTCTTATCTTCTTGCGCCATATAAACGAATTTTTTCGTTTCAGTTGGATTGCAACACAATTTTGCTCATGCTTTTCTACCTTTATGTCAAACTGTTTATCATGTAGTACTAATTTCTTCTGTGAGATATACATTTTAGCATCTTATATGTTTTAAGTCCATAATATTTAGATCAGATCATTGAACATTGATCAGAAATGTTGCCCTACTAAATATGCCTTTGAATACTTACTTATTGTAAAGCACCATGTCAGGTAACCAAATTTTGTCACAAGGCATTCTGAGAGTTTCCAGTCCACCATAGTCCGCGGGGTTCCATCTCAATCTCTCGTCTATCCATTCCTGACAACAGCAAAATGAAACATAAAATTATATGTTTTTATAAAAAGTCCTCAAAAGAAGTGACAATAATTGGACTTAACGAGTCTTTCCACGTGCGCAAAATAATTGAAATAAATAAAACAATGCACCAATCAAAATGCGTGCGACGTAATGTTATAAGAAGAGCTTACTGCTTGTAATTATAGTCATAAAAGCAAAATCAGTATGAAATTTGAGAACATTTAGGGACATAAAAATTTATTAGAATATAAAATGCATGTTGTATAAAACAACTAAAACTAAACACGACATTAGTGACAAATCTTACCTGTTCTAGCCATACTATTGTAGTCAGAACTTGATTTACCTCATCCTGCAAAATATAATTTGTAAATATTATATCATTTCTAACAAAAATAGGATAAACAAGATCAACAAGGAAATGCGGTAGCACTAACGAAACTGTAGAGTTAGTTGTATTGGCGTAGGATTAATTTTCGTCATTCAGATTCTTTACAAATTCATAGCTTTCGTGAATAAATGTGTAAAGGCTAGCATTTCAAGCCTTTAACGCGAAAAAAGAAACATACATCGTTAGACAAAATATGCAAATTGTTACACACATATCGAGTATTCATCATTCGCTCTATAGGAAATATACCAATATTTTTTCCCTTTTTTATACAGGCATTTAGGGATTATTTTTTTAAAAAATCAAATATTTTTCTAACTGAAGACATAAAAGATATAGCGTATTACCCTTCAAAGCGTTCTACAGTATTCATGATATGTTTTGATTTACAGGAACTATTTTTACTTTTAAGAATCAGTTAATGTAATTGATTTATATTACTTTTCTTCCTTTTTGACATTATTTGTAATATAGAAATTCTTAAAATACAATTACCAATCACTACGTAATGTAATGTTAACTTTATACAATTTTGAAAAAAAAACTGTAATAATATTATATTTTAATATAATGATATGCTAACAAATCAAATAAAAAATCAAACCATATCACACAAGAAATAATTCAACAAATGTGTCCGTAGGACAAAAATATTGCATAAATCCACGGTCCACTGTTTTGTCCTCCAACGGAAGGACAGACGGATAGCATGACAACGAGACGGACAGACATTGACAGAGTATAAACCCCACCTCTAAGTGGTTGGGGCATAGAAATTAATACTTTAAGTGCTATGTTTACAACACTACAGTAGTCTCATCCTGGAGACTTATACACGATCATTATACACTTTGAAGACCTATTTGTCTAAACCTGTTTATAAATATACGATTGAAGCTAAAATATCAAAATAGTAACCGGCAAATAGGCAACCAATCTTACACGCACTTTTCAGCAAATGCAAATGTCAATAATTTGTAACATGAATGATGAATGATGTGTGCGTGTCATCGGAAGCTGAAAATGTCTTTTGATCAAAGATACCGATGATAAATATAGGCTAATGACTTATTGTTGTTTGCACGTCATCAACTGACATATTTAAATAATCCTGTTTTTCCTCGATATTGTACTTAGATGTAGAAAAAAATGATAAGATCATGGCCCATTGATTAAGATTTTAATCTTTAATATTTTACAAGATGTTAAAAGTTTTCTCAGAAGTTATCCTCGTGTAAAATCGTGGGTGCAAAGATCTTGTCATAACATGTGTAGCTTTTTTCAAAGAGAAATACTGATATTAATTAACAACGTTCGATAGAAACATCGAATTCATAAAACTTTCAATACAATGTTATATAACTGGAACCATTATCAATTTGTATGTGACAAAAATTGATTTATAAAATGATATAAGATTATCAAATGTTAAAGTTTAATACATTTTATAATTTTTTTTCTTGGAGCGAAAAAGAATTATCGCTATATAAAGTATTTCATATCATCAAAACACACAAGTGAAAGTATCGAGTAGTTCAGTAGTTAAAAAGGCTTAATTATATCACGACGTTCTTGTACCTAGGGATGAAATAACAATTTATTTACAAGCACATATCATGATATCTCCAACTATCATTTAATTTGACAACAAATTAGTCTAGAAATTATCCAAAACAAAGTTGTAGGTACTTTGTGCTGAGTTTAAATGTTTAGTGAATGTTTTTATGTTTATAATCAGTTCTTTTACAAAACTGTAAATGATTTAAAACAGAAACAATATTTTCATAGTGATTTGATAATCAAAAAACATAACTATGTTTACTTATTAAAATAACAAATAAAATAACAATTTACATTACATTTATTTTACAACAGTCAAAAACAAACTTGTCAGTGTTTGTTAAATCATAATGTTTTTCTACATACTAATCAATTGAGAAAAAAAAGTTGAAAATATATATTTTTGTTTCGAATGCATATCATATCAAAATGTCTTACTTTTTACTAAAAATGCCGTTGCTGTTTTTCTAAGATATAAATTATCAATAGAAATATATGTTTATCTGTTTACGATCTTGAAACCTCAAATGTTGTGATTGTAACGTCAGTCACGTAAGGCTAAGATGTTTCCTTAAATAATTGTTAGTCTTACCATTTTGAATGCTTTAATGAATAAAGATGTATTTTGTATGATGAATATGTGTCTGCACGCACTCTCTGATAGTGCCTCAAAATATACTCCTAATATGGTACTTTTATCTGACAGTTTACACAGCAGACATGATCCGTTGATTGTTTTGTTAACTTACTGGAAATTGTGCCTTGGGGTATTGCGGATTTAATTTATTTAAGCAAAAGCTGCGAATATTTGTAAAGATTAAAATCAATTCTGAAAATTCACATTATTGTGATCGGCAATTATTAATTAATTAATTTTAATTAATGTTTTATTTTAATTAATTAATTAATTTTATTTATTTTATTATTTGGGTCAACCATATAATAATCATTATACTGATTTAAATAATTGTAACGAAAGAACAGAATGTCAAATCCGTTACACGTTTCTTTACAATTCCTGTAGTCTTGTAGTGAATTGCTAGAATTAATCAATTTACTTACCATATCGGAAACTTGAGCAAGTGTGAGGCCAAATTTGACAGTGACAGTATCAGAGGCATTGTAGACTGGCCTAGAGGCAGGATTATATGCTGTAAGAAGTTTATCTAGAAGACGTTGTTCATCTGTTGGTATAAAACACATCACTAGAAACACCATCTGACTCACTTGAAGCAACAGGATGCTCACGAAAACCCGCATTATGACATTCACTTTCACAGTTCATCAAAATTCCATTATTTGTTTTATATCTGGAAAAACAAATATTTGAATATCGTTTAGTATTACACTATCATTGATTCATATATACGATAAACCCGTTTATGTGACCTTTACATATGTCACATTTGCAACTGAACATTTTAAAAAATATTTTTTGTAGACATATACACTTACTTAAAACACATCAAGCGAAAAAAGGGCAATCATGCGACTAATTACAGATATTATAGATTTAAAAATTTAAATAAATCAATTTCAGAAGGTCTTATACACATCCGTACAACATAATTACAAATGAGCAACATAATTATTTACATAAAATACAGACATGTATAAAGTTATAAGAAATCTGCAGTTTTGTACATTATAGATAATTTAATATTATTATAAAGCATTCTATAATGTAGAATTTCGAGCACGGTTCGAATGCAGAAAACTAGTTCATTATACAAGTAATATACTAATTACCAAAAACCAAAAGATGGTTAAGCTAAACAGTATGATTTCAGAAACAGACCAACAAAATATTTTTTTTAAAAGTAATAACAATTTGAGACATTGGTTCTTTATCTTATAAGGCCATTTTTGAATTTCTGTTGTTGTTTTTTTTTAATTTCTTGTAAAAGTTATTTTCATAAAATCGTTATAGAAATGGTAAATAACGACTTCTTTTGGACATCGAAGACCACGTCAAATATTGACAAATTAAATGCTCTTTTATTCTTTCCGTTGCTGAATCATCGTCCAAACAAGAACCAGAACTTTACTTATAAATATGGGCATTAACCTGCAAAAAACCAATTATCCACACAATTTGTACGTCAGTAATTGTGTACCAAGGCGAGACAACAAGCTGTGCCTTCATATCAATATGCAAAACATGTCGTTATAGGCCATTTATACGCAATCAGCTCTCTTTAAAAACATTTTTGTCTCTTTTTCGTCTCAGTGTTGTCACTTAAGCAAACTGTGAAGTCGACAACATGCCGAATGTAAATGACATCAAGTCTGCTTTTCGCTTTCTTGATGCAATTGACTACGTTTATAATTATACAGAAAACAGAAATGAAAATAAGTTAATATGAAATTATGTATCTTATATGATTTCAATATTCATCTGCAGTTGTCATTGTAAGTTTAGACGTATTTCCTCAAACCGTTTTTAAGTCAAAAGTAACTCAAAATAGACATATATTCAAAAATAGGAATGAAAAAAACGCTAGAAAAAGTACACATTTCTTGTCATTTTAGTTCATACACAAGAGATCAGAAATACATCACTGCAATATTTCATATTCAAATAAAACACTCTTTTTTACAAATGAGAATTACTTCTAATTAGTAAGACAGTCTCACATAAGCATGACACAAACCTTTTTGGTTGTTTTTGCAAATGTATTTTGTGTGACATAAACAATGTATAGTTTCCATACAGTAATTAAATTATGTTTTATCAATATAGCGGACATTTAGAAAAAAAGAAAGTAACATATTTATATCTAAATCAAAAGGTTATTTTTGGCAAACATTGTATGGTTTCCAAATGTTGAACGAGTCATTGTTGAAAAGTAAACATCAATCTAATTTTTACCAAATGAAAATAAAAAACAAAAACAAAAAACAATAATCCTCCAAATTGGAAGACTATTCAAAATAAAGCATATACTGATTTCGTTAAAATAAAAAAACATTTGAAGGTAATGTCAGAAATAGAAAACCAAACTGTAATAGCCATGGTTCAAGCTTATTTCAACAACTCGGTGGTATTTTTAAAGTTTTCATTTGAAATACAATTTTGGACATTAGGATAATATCAAAGAAAATATAAAAGAGCAGTTACCTCTTTGTTAAAGCAATATCACATTATTTGATTATAAAATATGCAGAATACATTGAATTTAATCTCAAGATTCCAAAGGTTCTGAACATTTTTCGAAAAAAAAAATGCTTTCAAGATCTAGTTAAATAAAATCAATGCTTCTGAAGAAACTATGTCTTGAATACTTGTCTATCTTTAATTTCCCTTGTGAGCGCTCCGGAAAATTTGTAGACAGGTTTTTATACGCTGTGATTATGAATTACATTGAAATAGTTCTGGTAGTTCAGCATTAAAAATGTAATCCAAGTGAACATGTAATACTCATACAAACAATGTTCTGGTTCCATAAATCAGTTGAGAGTATTTACAAATTCAAAATAATTTAAAGCTTAACATTATTTTTAACACAAATGATACTTAAAATGTGTTTGATTTCAGCACTTTTTGCTTTTTTAATATTTCCGAGGGATCACTTTTTCAGATATTCACATATCAAACAAATTTTAGTAAAAGACATTTCTGAAATATCATTATGTAGCCCATATTTTGTGTAACCAATAATTTTTTTTAAAGTCGGTGTTAACAAGAAATATATCAGATATTACAAAGAAAAGAATATTGCCCCTTAGACTAATGCTTTGACTTTGGCATCTACTCAATTTAAAGTAAATAAAACAAAAATGCTACAGTATATAACAAACGAACATATAAAAACCAAAATAAGATGGCAATAAATAAGAACAGCGTTCATTCACTTTATATATCACAATCACAATTGTTCGTTTGTCTTTCTTAATCCAGAATTTAAAAACAATGCACACACAAAAAATACAAAAAATATGTCCCTTTTATAAGTCAAATACCATGTTCTAGTATACATTTTTGTTTCTAAATTCACTCGTATTTATTCCGAAATATTATAACTATCATAATAATAATAATAATTAATAATTGTTACAAACCTTTCGCAATTATATCATGTTATTTAATTCCATAAAACAATCGTTTACTTACTTTGAAGACTTTTACATATATGTGAGATATGTATAAAAAAGCTGATTTTTTGTAACAGCTCACAAGCATACATCAGCAATACATGTAATCAATTTTATATTAATGTTAAATAAAAATCCTGAGGACATTATTAAAGTATTTGATAAGAGGCAAATGTTACTATTAAGAGTTATTCTTAGTTGTCCTATCAGCAATTATCGAGGCATTTAGTCACTTAAATATGACCATTATATTTCAATCAGTACATTAGTCTAAAATACATCACCAAATTAAAAAGATTACCAAAAATAATCACTGTAAAAATTACTTCCAACCGTGTGGTTATCTTGATAGAATTTCACGTGAAGCACTTATGTTATAATATCATGTGTAGTTAAAACAATCTGGAAAGAAAGTGATCCCTCGGAAGCATTAACCACAACAAAATAACATAAAAATTGCAGCCTCGGTTTGATTGAGTCTGTACATGAGGGGTAATGAATAAGTGCAACATCCCTCACGCCCCCCAGCACCGGCTTAAGTGTTATGGTATATATAGTTCACTGACACGCACTATCAAAAATCTAATTTAAAACAATTGAAAGTCATGACTAATGTGAATTTAACATTTTATAGTATCAAACAGTACTACTTACAAAAATTAAAGCCTACAAATACAAAACATTGTATAAATCGCTTCTTTTAATAAGACTAGTTTGAAAATAGCAAATATCTCTGTTATGTATTTATCAAAGTGAGTGAGTGTTTTTGGTTTTTTTTAATTTTTATTTGTGTTTGTTTCAATCTACGTATTTTCAAGTTTTAATGTTCAATAATGCTAAAACCGGTGATATGGTGCGTAAACGGTAGCTTGTTCGTTCCAGTACCATACATGAAAAGGCTCATTCTAAATGAGCGTGCAACATTTTTAGTTTTACCGTTTTGACTTTTTAGCCATTTCATTTGTTTCTGTTTTATTATTGATCCAGATACTTTATTGTATTGAAGCTTGAAGCCGGTGCTGGGGGACGTTAAATATGTTACACTTTCCAATATCTGTCTAAAAAATATTTTCATTGCTATAGAGGGATATCCTTATTCCAGTTTTACTTTTATTCTAACATGCAGTTCTAAATTTTTATAAAAAGGAAAACAAGATTGCTCTATTTTGCGGATATAAGATCACCGTCACTGTCATATGACGTTATTTTTCCAGAATTCAAAGCTTTGCAAAAAAATGTTTTTTTAAAATGTTCACTTATAATAATTTATAACTTAACTACGATAATATGTGTCTATTAGAAAATTAATCAAAGAACAAAGTTTTGACAGAATGGGTATACTTTAGGGTAATATACATAAATCTATGTAAAATTGGTGTGTTAAATCACTTGTTTCACTCAGTGTTATATTACATGAAATAAAGATGTTATATGACATGAACAAGGTTAATGCCATCCTTAAGACAATATTATGCAACTCGTAAACGTCAAAACAGATGGGTTTTATTTTCTAATAAACACGTGTCCTGAGGCGGTTTGCATTGATCTTCTGTTTCAAAAGTAGGCACAAATCGAAAAATTACCCTAAAATGAGAATATTGCTTTTTTATTTTCTTTCAGAACAATTCAAAGATTTTAAAGAATTGTGTTGATAAATATGCAACATTATTTTAGATTTATTTAAAAGCGACGCCCCCGACATAACTTAGCCACGTCTGGGCAAAAAGGCACCGATAAAGTTTACATTAGTTTTAGAAAAATGTGTATTAAACAACAGAGTCAAAGATCATAAAAATTTTATCGTCCAATACCCTTGGTATCAGCTAAAGTAGAAACAAAATCATCGTCAAAATAAACGTCAATCAGAACAAAAATACCAAAGATTATTTTATATTATGATACAAACAGACAAAGTTCTTACACTAAACGATTGTGAATAGTTTTGACAGACGCTATCGGATAATAATAAGTTTGAAAAATGATAAGAAAGTTGGTAAAGATTTATAAAATGTTACAGAAAATGTTGATTTCTACTTGCACGGGAATTTATAAAAAGACTACAATAAATAACTGAACAAAATAACGAGTTTGTTTTAGTGTAATTGTAATCTTAGGGTTTCTCTTTTTGCGTAATTGCAAGGTAATTTAACAAGTTAATTATGTGTCAGATAATCATAACAGGAGTGTTTAGTTAATAGAAAAGTCACAATA